GTGCTGATTGCAAACGTCGCACGCGACGCGTCGACAATTTGATAAAACTATTGCGATACCACAGCGTGTTGGTATTCCAATGAAAAACGGCACGGCACTCGTTCCATTTACGATGTAAAGAAAAACTTTGGGAAATGCCGCATGAATTGACTGTCGTCCAACAGAGAGGAAAAACGCAACACAAATCGTGATTGCGTGTTTGTGAGAGATTATACATAATATATGTTTGCTCTATGTGTTTTTTTGTGTTAATTTCGCTCTGAATATTAATTGAAGATACATGTTTTTGGAATGATTCTTTTGGGAATGATAGTGGCATCTGAGTCAGAATGAGTGAATTATTTTCGGCGACAATTATCAACAATTCAACAGACGTAACTAAGGATTTTCACATCGGAATGGGGTTTGCCTGGAAATGACGACAAAATCGTTATTCGAAGGAACACTGTGAATCATTTCAAACTTGTGTTGGCGTACATGACTCTATATTGAAATGATGCGAATACAATCCAAATTCATATGCAGCCACAAATTCATGCATTGAAGGCGCGTTCTAATGTGACAATCCTAATCGCCACAAGCGATAATTTGCATCAACATATGTTGGTGTTGAACGGAGCAATGGAACTTTTCAAATTTTACCGAGATTCAACAAGTGTTTTCAGTATGACATACTTTGAGCAATGATGAAGGTGGTTAAGAATGTTGCATTTGAAGTGAAATCAACACAAGCTCTGAATAAATCGTATGGAACCTATCCAATTCTAAATGAAATTGAACATTTGTTGGAAATCAAGTGAGAATCATTTATTACAAAAATACTCCATGCAAAAATTTACACTTTAATTGAAGTGTTAGTTTAAATCTATCAAAATAACCCGCATATCAATAAAATAAAATAAAATAGAAACAAAAATCCGAGGAATATTGCATAAAACGTATGATTCACAGTACATAACTTAATTTGCACATACGAGATATCGCTCAAAATTGACTGAGAGTCTTATTTCATCGTCATGAAGCTGCCCATAGATTTAGTGCCACAATACATTTCAAATGTAAGTCATTTGACACATAGCAGTCAATGTCATCTCAATTCCAATTCATTGAATCATTGATATTTTCGGCAACTTTTTTCAAACGTGTATGGCTTTACTAGAATATAATCAACTTTACGACGACGCTAACAGCTTCTCTGTGGGCCGTTACTACGTATTGATGTTTTGCAATGGTTACTCGATGCATTTGCCAAAATACTATGATTTTCAGTGGTGTGTGACTATGAAACAAGATCATATATGAAAAATCGGTTAGGCAGGATCGGAAGCAATTGCAATTATAGTGCGCCCCCGCAAATTAGAAACCCGAGAATTAGAAAACCTCAGAAATTAGAAATGAATTTCAGGTTTGCAAATTTGTATGGAAAATTTCTAATTTCCGGGGTTCATTTCTAATTTACGGCGTTTCCGAATCATTTCATTCAAAACAAAGGGAAATTTACTTCATTTTTAATGAAAAAACGTAATGAAAGTCTTTTCCATTTCGTTGAATAACTATATTAGAAGATCAGCTTGAGATTTTCGACGTTTACCATGAAGTTATAAATTAATTCAAGTTCCATATTGTCTGCGTCAATCATCAATCATCAATCATTAACAAATCGAAACCGATACAAAATTGTATATAGAATGCTAACGTTTTCTGTTTACTATCGTATGATATAATAAGAACAGCCGGTCATCATTTATTTCGGTTTGTTCCGAGGAGTAGTTTATCCAGTAAAATAAACTAACCGACTTACTATATATTTATAATCACTAAAATAACTGCTTATAAGCATTTACATACAATACTTGATTGAACAGTGTTCAATATATTGTTTTCAATTAAGCAAATCATTCCCCCTATCAGTTTTTTATTTGATACACCGTTTTTGGATGAAATTGAAAAAACCTCAGAAATTAGAAAACTCCGCAAATTGGAAATGGTCTCGGGACATTTAATTTCTAATTTGCGGGGGCGTATTGCAGCTTCAAATTGCGGTATTTATAATTCCGATAGCTCCAACCAGTTCCGAGAACGGCACAAAAATCTGTTAACATAAACCACTCAGTAAAAATTCTTTATATAAAATCTTGAAGTCGTTTTCAGTGGTGTGTGACTATGAAATCCATCGTACGAATAGCCTATGAGGCCAAATCTAAATTTTGTCGTACGAATAGACAGTGTCGCAACAATACGTTCCTTGTGGCAAAGGATATCCAGACGCGATATTAGCAAGATGAAAGGCAAACTTTTAACGAATATTATGCCCGTTGTAAGTGGTTCGGATTTAATTAAATCCAAAAATTTAATTTTCAACTTTGCGAAAACAGCCAGAAAATGAAAGCTGATTGGGTAGGACGTAAAATTTGGGCGAAAACAAGAAAAACTGGCCTTTTGAGTACACCCAATAAGCCTTATGGGGCTTGAAATCATGATTTTTCCGAATTTCGTTAAATCCTAAAGATTTAACTTTCAAGTGCGGGATTTAAGCATTTTTCACGCAAAACCATGTTGCAAATAAGTCAAAAATTGTTGTTAATGACCGAAAAATTCTAAATCAGCAAAAAACTTAACCACTTTGTACGTTTTTTGAGTCCAAATATGCAAAAATATCATTTTTCGTATATTCTCAACATTTAATTTTCAAATGCGGGATTTAAGAATTTTTCACGTTAAACAGTGAGTCAAATAAAACAAAAGTTGTGGAAAATGGTCCGAAAAATCTAAATCAGTAATAAAAATCAAGCACTTTTGACCATTTTTGGGTTCAAATAGGCAAGAATATCAGTTTATGGAAACCTTCAGTATTTCACTTTCACATAATGGTGAATTTTTTTGGGAAATCTCGTTTTTCGACAGTCTGCCCATCCAAAACTTCTAGCCAGCTTCAAATCAAGCGCCGAAAGCCATATCTGTGGCTTGTTCATGGGGATTTCAGGTCAGCACAAGATTTAGATAGGTAAATGAGTTTTTTATGAAACCATGAAAGTAAAATCCCAATAGAAATCCCATTTGTGATATTCCAAACGTCATTAAACTTTCTCAATCTTATTTTTTTCTAAAAAACTCAATCCCTGAAATTTTGAAGCCAATCGAAAGCGATTTACCGGTACCTTCCATACAAATTTGGCCAGTTTGGCCAATTTTATGAAGAAAATAAGAATATTTGTATGGAAGGTACTCGGGCAAATCTAAAGAAAACTTAGATAAATTTGTTCATGTTGGAAGCATTTTTCTAAATTTGATAACGTGGATGTGTCATCCAAATTATTCATTGCATTTAACTAGGAAAGAGAGAAACAACATATTTTCACACACATATTTATTTTCCACTTGATTTTATCTTTTTTATTCACTCCATGAATAATATTCGTTCACGAAAATACGTTGTCTTTTTGAAACATAGTAGTTCAAATTCAAAAAGTCGTTCTACGAAGGTGCACTTAAGACTGTCTGGCGTGTATTCAATTTGTACTTTATTCTGAAAGCCGCGTTGTAATTGATAATGACAGTTCGGTTTCACCGCTCTGGTTGTTCTGTGTTACTATTGTTAGCGATTTGTGTGATCATAATTGGAGGATAGCCTCCCGCTGAGCCGAAAATTGGATGAGCCATCCAACCAAGCTGATTCAAAGCACGAAACATGGACTTTAGTTTCATGTAAATAATTTTGAAAATCTAAGCAAAAAATTGATTGTTCAAACCTACCGAAAATTGCATGGCCCAATCGACTGTGGCCGTGTCATTTGTATCAGAATAATAAAAATAAGAGCTAAAAGCAACTCCAACTCGACCTTTATACCGTTGATAATAATGATCTCTGTAGCGATGGTAAGCAACGGCATGCGCTTTCAATATATTGTGACCACATTCATATTCACCGATGCCATGTGCATTAATCCCGGGTGCGTTATAATTATTTCCATATGCAAAATCGCAGAAGTGATCTGGTTCGTTGACAGTAATCCAATATTTCACACGATCACCAAAACGTTCGTACAATAAGTTAGCATATTCTTCAAAGTACTTTACTATGATCGAGCGATTGTAAGACCGCCTAGTTGTTGCATTGGTTCTATTCCATTCTCAATGAGTTTATTGATCAATTTGTTGT